AGTTCCTTCTCCACAGTCCCTCTCCAATTGGGTTTGGAGACACCAAGAGGAAACCTAGCGGAAGAGAAAAACCTTCACCTGAGCTACCTACTGGAAGTTGGCTCTGTTCCTTCGGCCACATAACTCCGGTCCCGTAGCCTCTCCTACCAGCTGTTCTTTTAAGCTGCAGATGATACCAGATCCCAGTGGGACTTTGCCATCACTTCTGGTTGCCCCTAACCTTGTCCACGCCCATGTAAACGATCTCTTCTTTAAGCTCTTCTCAATTATCCTATTAGAACATGCCATCAGTTGATGGCGAGGACCCTAAAAGATTGTATCATCAAAACTTCTTCCATTAACCTTGCCCCACAATCCATCTGCAGCTTTCCTTTGTCGTCATCTGAGTGGCAGAAGTCCTGGAGCCATCAGGCCAGACACAGAGTGACTGGGATGACCCCTCCCTTGTCACCAAAAATACAATGGTGTACCCTCCATAGAAAGAGAAAGATTCAAACCTAACTCATCATTGTTATTAGACACAGAACTACATTAATAGCACAGAAAAACACTAGAACAATCAAAAACACTAGGAAAACATACCTGCATTGATGAGATCTGCATCAACTTCAGTTTTCAATGGATATGGACCCTACCAATCAGAGCAGACATGCAATTAGCAAAAGAATTCCCCCACGGAATTATATAGTAAAACTAGCAAAACCGGAATTACATAGTAATTACATAGTAAAACCCCAAATAGCTTCCCTCAAACCCAGAAGAAATTACCATCAAAAGATTTAAGGTGAGCTCTTAAAAAATAATTCCTATGTCTCAAGGGTCAATTCCTCACAGTTCTGTCCACGCTAACAATTGTGATGAGAAAAGCATTTCCTAAATTTGAAAGAAACGTTTTGAGAAATACAGTTTAATGAATCCAAATGCGATTACTTGGTCCCAGTGATGCAGCCTATGCTGTTCATAAACCTTCTGAAGGTTTCAACGAGTTCACCAGAGAGGGCTGCTGCTGCTGCTGGGAGGAGCCACAAGATGCAAGGTTTCCCATTCCTGACTTGCAGGACCTGAAAATCTGATGGTCAGGTTTCAACCTGACCTCTCACTCAATCTAAATTTTTCTGTCTTTACTTTTCCTTTGCTCAGTTATTCTTGGACACTTTTAGAAAACTTTTATACACATTTTTATAAGCCATCTAATTACTGGAATGATGCCAGTGGTTTCTTAAAGTAACACAGTAAGAATGGGAGCTGGATCCAACAAATGAGGCTAGTCGAGGAAATGTTGGGTCTGAAAAACTTTAATGGATTCTATAAACAAATTTAATTGGCAACTACTATGTTAGAACTGGATACATTGTCCCTTAAACACTGATCCTGGGTATCACTCGTAAACTTATTTTCCTTCTTTGGGAAATGAAGGGGTTGGTCACATAGCCCTTCAATCTGCTATCACGTCAATGCTGGCTGACAGCAGCCCCACGGGACAGAGCAGAACCGCTGTCTTTCCAAGGCTGTCTGCCTCATGAGTGCAGACTGCCACATGGCTCCCCTTCACAGAGGCTCAGGGGTTCGAAGTCGGTTAGCTTTAATCTCTGAGCAACCAGGGCTTCTTAAATAATCTCTAACGTGTCTTAACTCTGAGTCTTTGACTTCAAACTGAATCTGATTTAGATTCACGCTTATTATTGTCTTGGAAACATGTTTATTTTGATCATTGGCTAAATCAATCAGTATCCATTATATGGCCATGATTATTTCTGACTTGTACGTGTTATACTGGAAACGCATTTCATTTTTCAGGTTAGCAATCAAGACCTACTGGGAACAGTAAAAAATTAGACTACTATAAATTGGCAATTTCTAAACAATCCCTACCAGAAACAAAATTAAAATTAAAATGTCAGCTGGGAAGGAAAAGTATTGCTCATGTCATCATAGCATTGAATATCCTAAATTCTGTGAGAATACTGGGCTCATCTGAAAGGTTAATCTCTGGAAGAGAAAAATCCTGCCCCCTTTGCATTAACATGGCCTCAAACTAAGAATTAGGTGCAAAGAACATCTAAGGCCTTTCAAATTTCCTTCCTCCAAGTCCCTGTCCTGCAGCAGAAATCTTACTCCTCAGTTTCTCATTCAGAGCCTCACTGACTTTTATTAGCCATAGAACTGTTAACAACATTCGTTATCTTGTCCAACAACAGATAAATTAGAGATAGCTAAAAGGGACAAGCTGAGGAAGCTCTAAAGCACGGACAATGGGGGGAGGGTGGGGGGGAGCAGCTGACAGAGACACCGGCAAGTGGGGAAGGGTGCAAGGGCCTTCAGAAAGGTCTTCCAGTCAGGAAATGGCTGTCTGCAGCACATGCCCAGTCACCACCTTTACAAGAGCCAAGTGAAATATTTTAGTATGATAATGAATTCAAGAAAAACAAGGATAAGAACTTTAAGCTAACAGCTGCTCAGTGATTATAAGATTTGACTATCTCATTCTCCATGTAGA